GTTTTGGGAGTTGGAATGTGTGTAGATTGTGATGATGTGTGGGAGTTGGAGTGCGTGTAGATTGTGGTAGTGTGTGAGTGTTGGGATGTGTGTTGGTTGTGGTGGTGTGCGTGTTGTGCTTATGTGTGTGTGATTTGTGTGTGGGGTGAGGAGTTGTGTATGGGTCATATTTAGTATCGTGGGAGTTTGTGTGTGTTGTGGTTTTGTGTCTGTGTTGTGGTGGTGTGCGAGAATTGAAATGTGTGTAGGCTGTGGAATTGTTTGAGTGATGTGCTTGTGTATGTGTGATGTATGTAATTTTTGTGTGGGGGCTGAGAAGGTACGTATGGGTCGTAGTGTGTGTGTGTGTGTCTGTATCATTTGTTGTAAATTGGAAATCTGTGTGGGTTGTGGTGGTGTGTGTGTGTGATTTGTGTGACTTGTGTATTTTTTGTGTGGGTCTGAGAAGGTGTGTATTTGTCGTAGTGTGTGTGTGTCTGTCTGTCTGTCTCATTCGTTGTAAATTGGAAATCTGTGTGGGCTGTGGTGTGTGTGTGTGGGAGTCGAGACGAAACTAGACGTGTAATTTCATTGTTTGAAACTAATCAGCGGTCATTATTGACTTAATTAGTTTCCATTTTATCCCTCGCGTGAGGCCCCACCGGGTGAGCCAGCGTATTGAGTGTTTGGCAAACGTTTTTAGAGGCTGGAGCTTTTGTGATGTGTCACGTTTTAAATTATTGGAAGTTTTGTCCCGTCACGTTTAGCATAAATTGTCACGTTTAGGACCAATGAGGTATTGTACAGTCACGTTCAGGATTTATGGAAGCTTTGTCCTGTCACGTTTAGGATGAATAGAAGTTTTGTCTTATCACGTCTAGGATGATTGGAAGTTTTGTCGTGTCACGTTTAGGATTGATTGCCACGTTTAGGATGAATGGAAGTATTGTCCTGTCACGTTTTTCACTTAGGGAAGTTCTGTCTTGTCCCATTTTGACCAATTTAAGCATCGTCTTGTCACGTTTATGAATTAGGGAAGATTTTTTCTTGTTACGTTTGGGACTTAGGGGAGCTGTCTTGTCACGTTTAAGACTTAGTAAAGCTTTGTCCTGTCCCATTTTGACCAATTTAGGCTTCGTCCAATCACGTTTATAAATAAAGGATGATTTTTCTTGTCCCATTTAGGACCAATTCAGTATTAGAAATACATTCATGACAATGGAAATCTTTCACAGTAAGGCCCATAGGATAATGGCTGTCTAGATTTTCTTAAATCGCAGATATTTTCAACTCACGCAAATATTAATTAGCAAAATGTAATGTTATTTATGACGATTGGTTGGCTAGCAGATGTAACCAATGAAGATGGTTTTAGATTTTACGTCATTCTTCATCTTTCTCTCTGTTACATTTTCACTCGATCACATAGACACATTGTCATATTGTAACTCTGCCATTCTGTCACATTGTCACTTTGTCACAATGTCATTTTTTTCATATTGCCACATTGTCAATCTACAACATTATCACTCGCTCACGCTATCACTGTCAGTATTTCACTTTGTCACTCTGATGATTTTGTTATTTTTTTTTCTTTTATTATTTAAAAAAAACAGACTACTCGCTGAATTCAATGATTGAACATTACATAACGACGAATTATTCATCATTTTTATCAGAATTTTCCTGAAACTTTGCGGATGTTATTCTAGTTAATTACATCATGTATACCCCAGCAGTCAGTCAACAGCAGCATAATCCCTGTAACTGATGCCCTACAGCCATTGAATCATCCAGCATAGTTTTACCCTTCTTGATTATGTCCCATGTCAAGACAACGTCAATGCTAGCCAACACCTACAGCTAGTGTTGGCTACACTGCTACACCATGTACTTGTAGCTTTAACTAAAGAGGTCGCTGAAACATTCTACCTTTTTGTCTGTCGCGTATAATACTCATTCTTAATTTCTTTTCATACACACACCAAATGTTTATATATATATATATATATATATATATATATATATATATATATATATATATATATATATATATATATATATATATATATATATATATATATATACGTAGGCATAATTGAGTAACCGTAGCCAAGCCAAAATGGCTCCGTCTCGCCAACAACCAATCAGATGACGCCGGAAGCGGTGCCTCAAAGGTCAAAGCTATTTGTGAGGCTCTTAACCTCCCATCACGATCGCCGGATAAGGAAACCCCTTTGGTTAATTACTGAGAGCAATATGCGATGCATGGTTGTCGCATGGTTGTCGTGTGGTTGTCGTGTGGTTGTCAACCGAGGGTTGTCACAACGTGTCTGAGGAGCGATGATGTATAAAAAATATTTTTTTGAAACGGTTGTGGTGTGGAGAGGGGAGGTGGCGTGATGAGGATTATCGTCAATTTAGGATAAGAGAGAGGATTAGATTAAATCTCAGCGTAATGTGTGAGGGGTTTAGGATTCGAACCACGCTTGGTTGAGCGGTGTTGTAAGCTATCCACCACGCCTTCCAACTCCACCACAGAGATTTTATTTTTAAGCCCGGGAAGCTAAATGATTCTCTCTAATTGGTTGGCAGCTTTAAGATAATTATTTATGTGTTAAAGATTTAAACTTACTTAATTTGGTGACCCATAAATTATAAGTCTTCTTGCACGACTTTATTCTAACTGTTGAATTAAATCTAAACCTAATTACTTATTTTTAATTATTAATGATAGTTAAAATGACGTAATTACCTACACAGAAAAGATTATTGTTTTAGTGAACCATCACACCTTCTTAGTGCAATTATTTATGTGTCAAAATACTTTACTTAGCTTGATTAGATTAGCTACCTACAGCTACCTATTTTTAACGATAAAACGTAATTTGATGAGAATAGGTAATATATCCAGTGGCGTAGGCAGGGGGGTTAGGGGGGTCATAACCCCCCTATAGACCCCTCGGTATATAAATATAAAGTATGAGGGGGGGTGCAAATCGAAAGTTTGAGGAGGGGGGTGTGCAAATTGAAAGTTTGAGGGGGGGGTGCAAATCGTAAGTTTGAGGGGGGGGGGTGCAAATCGAAAGTTTGTCCCCGGGTAAAAATTGGAACCCCCCCTTCTGAGACGATCCTGGCTACGCCACTGAATATATCCAAACTTTTTAGTAGAAAAAAAGTAATTTGATGAGAATAGAAAATATATCCAAACTTTTTAGTAGAAAAAAAAGTAATTCGATGAGAATATGTAAAAATATCCAAACGTTTTGAAAGATCTAGCACTATTAGACGAGCATAACCAAACGTAACCAATTTATTTGATAGAAAAATCTGAGTCATGTGAAGTATAGTTCGAGTGTTGGGGTAAAAAAAAATCCTGTAATATTAAGTCCTATTTGGTTTTTTTTTATATATATTGTTTGGTATTTCTCAAAATTTTACCATTTTGACTCATTATAACGATGCGCACAATTTAGGCTTTCATTGTGATAAAACAACTGCACAATAAAAATTCAAATCTGGGGTTGGGGGGGGGGGACTTTTAAAAATTTCCCGGGCCTCTTGGACACACCCAGTCCACCCTTGGTAGAAGGCACCAACAAAGATGTGTCTTTGTGGGAGAAAACGAGACGACCTACGTCCTAGACAACAACACAACGAAAGTTTCTATCTTTAACATTCTATAGCTTTTTTAAAAAATATGTTAAATGTACACAAGAAACAAAGCCTTAAATTTAAAAAAAAAGCAATTAATCCACTTAGGCTAGGCTTGAGCATTGATAAAACTCACTGATGTCAATTAGCGCTCATGATTTTCTTGAATGTAGCTGTCTATATATGGTTTGTATAGAATCTAATTCAATTTTCAAAGATATAAATAGTGATTTATGTAACGCTGACGTATTTTTAAACAGCGGTTTCCGAAATTTCTAAGCTTGAAAACACGCAGATACTAAGTAATTAAAATTGTAAAATCATACTAGTAAAAAATTTGTTTCTGGTTATTGAATTTTAAAATCTTAAGTATATATATCAAATATTCCATTGTCGAATGTCTATGTTTATTTATTTGGAAAAATAATTCGTTCAAAATATCTTCGCATCAGGTATATTATTCGACAACACATGTTAAATTACAATCAATGTATTCAAGCAGGAGTGTACAAACTGAGAATAGAACTGTGTTTAAACACTACGTGGAAAAAGTTATCTGAAATAGTATCTAAGCTAACTAATTATACTACGGGCTTAAAATGATGGATCCTTAACAGACTTTAGTCTACATCTTAAAGATGTAAACTACCGTATTGTTTTTTTAATCCTTCAACAGCTATTTAGCTGGCAAAGTGGGAAAGAAAATGAGCTAAATGTTCATTTCTATCCTATTGTAAAATGTAGTCACTATCTCGCGCAAGAATTGTAGTTTTTGTTTTACTTTGTTTTACTTTTTACGATTTCATAAGTATGATTTTAAAACTGAAGTTATGCCTAGACAGTCAATATTAGGTTTTCTGGCTTTGTCATTGAAGACGAGTTTACCCTGAACGCAACAACTGCTTTAGGAATAGTTCAAAGTTAAATTACTAGCTTTGTTTTAGACAGACATTGTTAGCTTAAGGAAACCTTAGGAAAAAACACACGGTAAAAGGATTTACTCACACATTAACTGGAGTTGTAAAAACCAAACTTACAAAACATGTACGTTTCCTTTTTAACTTACTGATGATACGAAACAAAGATAGATTACTGTATAAACAAATCGATCACCTGACGGTTCAACATTTGAAGATAGATAATAAAACTATACCAAACAAAATGATCCAAGTTTTCCATCATGAATAATATTATAAATGTATATTACTAATTTTAAATATATATATATATATGTATATATATATATATATATATATATATATATATATATATATATATATATATATATATATATATATACTATATATATATATATATATATATATATATATATATATATATATATCTTCATTTATTTCTGTCCCCAGCAACCATGTACAGTATAATGAACGTATTTCTCCTGACGGTGATGACCGGGTCTAGCTGGGCCGTCTTCTACTACCAGAACGCCGGACCAGACTACCCCAGACTGGGAAAACGGGCCTACTACTCGGGCGATAAACTTTACCCCAGGCTAGGTCGTAGGGACGCACCCCCGGGCCAGACCTTGTTCCCCGCCACGGCCCTGAGTGACCTCCCACAGGAAGATAAAAGGGGCGTGTTCACCAAGACTGCGTACGGTTACCCCAGGGACGGGAAGGAGATCGGCGGAAAGTATGGAGGATTCTTTGAACGACAGCAGAAGTCAAATCTTGGAGAAGATCGCTCTCATTGAAGAAGATGAAGCTAGGAACAAGGCGCAGGAGGGACAAGGGAGCGAATCACTGGACATTCTCTTTCTGGAACTAGACTCCGACAGTAAGTTTTGGTTCTTGTTTTTCTTATGTTGTCCTCAACACATGGGAAAAGAAAGTGGGGTTCAATGACCTGGGCAAAAGAAAAGGGGCAGTGGGGTCAGTACTATGACCCGTTGCTGTAGTTTTCCCAGAGTCAGGTGCCCATCAGAGATTGATGGACTCAATGCCATCCTATAAACTACTCCGGGATCCGAACTCTAGACGTACAGGTTCGGAATCGTATATTCTACCATCTGACCACGCCTTCCCTGTTAGTTGTTTTGCTCACTTCTAATCCACAAGCCCAACCGACATAACATTTCATTGGTAGATGATGTTAGTTGGTGATGTTGGTGGATGATGTTGGTGTGTGATGTTGGTTGTTGATGTTGGTGGATGATGTTGGTGGATGATGTTGGTGTGTGATGTTGGTTGTTGATGTTGGTTGTTGATGTTGGTGGATGATGTTGGTGGATGATGTTGGTGTGTGATGTTGGTTGTTGATGTTCCTGGTTGATGTTGGTGGATGATGTTGGTGTGTGATGTTGGTTGTTGATGTTCCTGGTTGATGTTGGTGGATGATGTTAGTGAAAGGTGTTGGTGTGTGATGTTGATTGGTGATGTTGGTAATGTTGGTAGGTGATGTCGAATGGTGATGTTGGTTGGTGATGTTAGTTGGTGATGTTAGTTGGTGATGTTGGAGGGTGATAATATTGGGGAATGTTGGTGAGTGACGCTGGTAGGTGAAATCAAATATCCTGGAAATTACTACAATACACTTAAAAATCACATTTTTCATGTTTATATTTGCGGAAGCTTTGAAAAGAAAATAAAACCTTAAATACTGTAGCATCAGTCTTTAGTTAAAACCTTGATGTTTGGCGAAAATCTTCTTCATCTACTTTTTTTTTATTTATTTTTTATTTAATTTCTCGTAATGTTTTTCCTTAAAATTAATATTTTCAATTTTCTGTTTTCGTTTTATTAAATTCATAATAGCATGAAGTTAAACAAATGTTATAATTTTTTTTCCCTGATCAGATGATGGGAAGATAACCAAAGACGAGTTCACGACCGGCATGAGCAGATACAGATCCCAGAATCCATTCTGCTGACGTCCATCTCCCGGACTGACGTCAACAAGCAATTTTTTTTTCTTCACCAAACTTTTAACATACACATCGGAGATCTTATATCATTTGTTAATTAGCTTTTTAAAATAATGGTTAATTTATTCCTTTTTTTTTAAATAAAATTCGCTAAATAAAATAATTGTACAACATGTTATATTAAAGATCTGATATTAGAATTTTGAAACAAAAAACAAATATCACCATACAATACAGTTCGCGTGTGTAAAAGGTTGGCATTACAAGAGATAAACATTATTTTCTAAAAATATCTTCATCGAAAGCGATACACGGTTGTCAAATAAAAAAAAACAACAACATAAGATGACGTCATTGAAAGCTGTGCACAACACCCTCGTCTTTTAGGGAGCAATACCTAGGTTGGTCAAGTTTCGATTTTTTCAAAGACCATCTTATCAAAGTCATACATGAAGGAACGCAGTCATAAGTCATCCGTGTATGTTAGTGTTTGATGACCACAGGCGTGGTGAGGTAAAAGGAGACATTTTATCAGCTGGTATGTGGGGAATTTTGTTTGACTAATTAATGACATTAATTGAAATAAATTTTTGATGAAGATAAAAATAACTTGTTGGATTGTATTGATATTGTGGATTTGTGTGTATGTGCGCATATATATATGTATATATATATATATATATATATATATATATATATATATATTATATATATATATATATACTAAAGCTGATGAATCCGTATACGATAGGATTACTTAGCACTGCAATATTAGAATAATAAATCAACTTCGAAATGGTGTTTTGCAACGGGAGACCTACCTAAAAATATATAATACCAAAGTTCAGTGATTAGCAAAGCCTACAACCTGAGTGGCACTGGCTGCATTTGAACCTGAATATATCCTGCATTTTTATACACGTTATAAAATAATAATTTTGAAGAAAAATGTAATTTACTTTGTATTATTAACTATATCAGTATGAAGGATTAAACGACTTTTCTACATTATCTTTGTATCGAAACTCCAAAAGAATATTCTAAACATATAAAACTATACTTTTTTTTAAAATG